CGTTTTCATTCACATTTAAGGTTTCTGTGATTTTCCATTCACAAAAAAAACAACTTTACATCGTTTAGTTACATTTTTATGTTAGCATGTTAACAGGTCATGTTATAAATTTACATTGTTAACAGTGGCGTTTGAACATTAATGTTAACAGGTTAACAGGTTTGATTTGCTTTATAAAGACTTTACTTATTAGACTTTGTTCTAAAATTATTAAATATATTTAGTATTTATATCGGAATTTATTCAATTCAAAATTTAACAAAAAACAGATTCAACAATCTTATGCAAGCATCTCAATATCGAAGATCAGTTAACTTGAGGGCTTTCAATAAAATCGTTTTACTAATTTATTTGTTATAATAATAACAACAATAATAATAATTAATAATTTTTAATTATATATATACAATTTTTGTTAAATATCGTAGCTCAATTTTAATTATTTGCCATTTCGAAAACAGTTTTATGGATTCTCATTAAACAGCTTCGAGCTCCCCCCCCCTTTCTCCCCTCTTCACAACGCGACAAATTGTTCAGATGCGAGCTTTACATATATATTGCAATTTGTTTATACAAATGTGCATTTAATTGTTGTTTGTTTATTTGCTTTCCTTTTCCACCTTTTTTTTTGTTTTTTTTTTTTTTTTTTTATTGCTATATTACACATTTGTTTGCTTTGCATTTATGTTTTATTATTGTTTTCGTTTTTGTTGTATTTGTTTATTTATTTTTTTAAATAATATTTTTTGCCGCCTTAACGCGGATGTTTTTTTACAATTCACAATTTGTTGCCGGCATTTTGTTGTGCTCTATGGGAAAATCAGATATGCATCTGCCATGTGTATCTGTATCTGTATCTGTATCTGTATTCGTATCTGTATCTGTATCTGCATCTGTATGTGTATCGGTGTGTGTGTTTTGTTGAGCTTTGTTTTGTTGTGTTTGCCTGGCTTGTGCGGTGCAGAGGGTGGGTTGTGGGCGGAGGGTGGGGCTTCTCTTCTGCGACATGCGCATGTAATCGATACGTTTCATGTTCTCGCGCTGTGTGTTGAATTTTGAACACAGTTGTTTTCTTGTTCTTGTTGTTGTTGACAATTTGTTTTGCAAATTCGCAAGCCCTTGAAAATGCTGTGGGCTCGATATGCGGCCGCTGTTGTTTTCTTTTCCTCAACCATTTCGCAGCAAAGCGGAAACAAATTGCCACGCTTACATACATACACACATGCACACACATATATATGTGTGTATATGTATTTACAACATGGCATTCCGATTGCCCAGTCAAAACAAAAGTCTGCAGAACTTCTCCTCAGCATAAAACGCAATGCGCAAAAAGGTGAAAAGCCACCACCACGATATTTTTTTTTTTTTTTTTTTGTTTTTGAAAAGCCATCGCATGTTTGCTCAAAAGTATCTAAAAGAACTCAACTTCAAGCGGCGTTCGCTCACTGAACATTCCTCCTCTTCTGCCTCTTCGTCTTCTTTTTTTATGATAAACCTCACACAAAAAAAAATGTGTCGTAAAGTTTTTGCGTCGCAGCGCAAAAGTGCCAAAAGGAACAGTCAAAAAAAGAACAGCAAAAAAAGAAAAAACAAAACAAAAATAGGCAGCAAATTTGTCATGCCGAAAACGAGTGGCAAAATGTTGTTGTTTGAGATACTTTTTATAGTATATGTATCTAAACACTTATATAGACATAAGATGCCGGCTGGTTTCCAAATATTGTTAACATTTTCGGGGCGCTGCTGGCTGCTTTTATTTTAATTCCATTTTTTCATTCATTTTTGGTTTCTTTGCTTGTCAAAAAAAATAATGAAAAAAATAGCGTGTAAATTATCGAGGCAAATCGCGTCAAAACAAACAGAGAGAACAGCAGCCGCAGCTTTGCTATAAAATGCTGATAGATAGAGATATACACACCCGTCAATGAGATACATACACACACGCACGCACATGCACGCACACACAGCTGTGTAGCTGTAGCTGTAGCTGTCGCAACATGGCGCGCACTCCCAAATACACAGCCAGATACACAGCGCCAGATACACAGCGCGCCCTCTCCCTCTCTCATTTGCTTACCGACACGCTCTCATCACATGCACAGGCTCTCTGCGCGCTCGCGCTCTCTCACGCGCTCACGCGCTCGCTCTCCCTCTCTCTCTGGCGCTGGCGCTGGCTCTCTCGCTAGCTGCCATTTTATATAAAATGCGACGCTAATTGCAAGCAGACGTTCAGTCGCCAGTTTAACTCGCAACACGCAACACGCTAAACGCAAGAAATACAAAAAATAAAAGCTACAAATTATAAAATACAACACATATACATATATATATATATACATAACTTTTAAGTATAGTTTGTGCAAGCGCAGCCTACAAGAGACTTTCTTAAGTGAATTACATTAATTCGGCCAACACACAAAATATCAAAGTATCAATTGTAAAAGAGCAGCAGAGATAAAAGAAGAAAAAAAAAAAAGAAGAGCTTTCAGTGTCGACTTTGAATGCAAATGCAAAAGCTCTGCGGCCGGTCTCACAAATAACCAAAAAGCTACGCAGCGAATTCAGTTATTGCTGAACTTTTGTCGTAAACGCAACGCAAAAGAAGATCATACCAAAAAATACGGCACACACAAAAACTCAAGCACAAAGCATAAAAGCAAAGGCAAAAGCAAAAGCAAAGAAGCACCACACAATATAACTGTGATAGAAAATTGCAACAAATTTGTATTATATAAGTGTATGTGAAGCGCGTCAAGCAAAACAAAAAGAAACTCAAATCTACTCGCAAGTGCGAAAGGCAAAAAGAACTTAATTAACAAATACTCCGCTAGTGCAAAACAAGCAAAAACAACACACAAAAAAAACAACATAAATATGATGGGCACCATGTCGCTGCGTCAGCCCGAGAATTGGCTATACGAGATCTGGCAGAAGGGCTACGATAGCCCCTGCTATGTTATGGTGCCAAATGCCAAAGTATGTACCGTAAGAGTTACCAAACATATAAATATCTACATATATATATATATATAGTATATATAGTATATTGCCCGTTGCATTGAGAACAAAATTTCACCTTGCAATTTGTATTGATTTTTGTTTTTTTTTTCGTGAGGCTGTCGTCAAGGCAAACATGTCGAAACAAAAATGCATAAATCTGTATGTGTATATAGTGAATGCTCTATCTAACTGTAAACTGTCAATTTTTGTGTGTACATCGATTCTTCATACGAAGTAGAATAGATAAAAACAAAGAGCACATGGAGCAAGTGAAGCGGTCGCCATATTTGTGTGCGTGTGCGTCTGTGTGTGTGTGTGCGTTTTTTTTTTTGACGAGTTTCGTTAAGCAAAGTGCAGCCAAAAAAAAAACTGAAAGAAACGTTAAATAAAAGTAAACGAAAGACAAAAAAAAAACACTAGAAGAAGAAGAAGCAGAGCGAGCAAGCAGCGTTTTGTGTCTACCTCAGAAAGCGAGACGCGTGAACCCAAATGCGAACCTCGACCCGACTCGAATTCCGACTCAACGCAAACGCTCAACTGTCTGTCTGTCTGTCTGTCTGTCTGTCTGCCTGCCTGTCTGTATGTATGTGTGCGTGTGCTTGTGTGTGTGTATATGTGAGACAAATGCATTTCCTTTATTTTTGGTAGCTTCTAGCATTTGAATTCTTTTCTGCCCTCGCATATATTCGAATTAAATTATTGAATTAATTAATGAGTAATAAATTGTATGACCAGCTTTGGCATACATATGCACATATGTATGCGCATTTTTTAATTATTTTTTCTGCTCGTATTTCTACACTTGTTTGTTTTTTTTTTTTCTTTTCGAGTCGTCTCTGGCGCCAGTTTTAACCAGTTTATTTTTTTTAGCATTTCTTTTTTATTATAAATTTATCACCTGTTTTTTTTTTTATGCGCAGTTGCGGGATTCACATACCTAATTTGATTTTTATTTTATGTTGATATAATATTCACATAAATTATTTTCCTTGTATCGATTTGTTTTCAAATTTATATTTATTTCATTTTGCAAAAATATAAATACAATTTTCCCGAAACACAAATAAAAAGAAAAACTTGCCGCAGAAAATGCGAGACACCCTTCGCCCCCTTCTCTATTCCCCTCCGTCCACACCCTGCCATAAATCATATGAGACAATTTTTATGACTAAGCGAAACGCACGCGAAACGCGCATGAAACGCGCGCGTTTCTGCCACCGTGGCTGGAAATTTGTTTAAACAATTTGCACTGTTGTTAAACGAAGGTGACTGAATTGTTGTCTTCTTTTTATATACATAAATTTATATTCTTTTGTTCGATCTGCTGCTGCTCTCGGGCAACATTTTGTTGCAGCTGAAAATCAGGCCACATCCGATGTGAAAATGCTTGACGAAGGCGTTTTTATTTTTAGCAGAGAAAATGAAAATGAAAACCGAAAAAGAAAAAGAAAACGCAAGCAAACGGAACTGTCGTCAGCGACACTCACCTGCCGCCGCTCCATGTTGCACGTGCCACAGACAAAATGTGTCGTGTATTTAGCTTTACCACGCCCCGCCCCCCCCCCCCCCTCTCTTCTGTTAATGGGCATATTAAATTTTCAGGAGCATGTGGCATGTTTTGACATTGACATTTGGCCGCAAAATGCACATTTCTTGGCAATTATTTAGTACTTTTCGCTGCAACACGCAACGCATTGAGCAAACATTGAAATTGATTCGTTGTGAATGGGTCGCGCCTTAAATGCACACGTTTACATTGTTTTTCCGAGCACACGAAAGTTTCCATTCATTTGAAATGAGAAACGATATCGATAACAGCGCTGTTAACTAACAGGCCATGTAAGTAGCAGCAGTAAAGCAGTGCGCGCTGTTAAAAGACAGGTCGCTGTTACTTAACATAGGCGATCCGCGTTTTTCAGCTGTTAACACAAATTGCGAATTGTAAAACCATAAATTTAACCTGTTACTAATTACATTTTCCTACGCTCCCCTTTCAGGATCTGGTCAAATCGCATCTCATGATAGCGGTGCGCGAGGAGGTGGAAGTACTGAAAGAGCGCATCTCCGAGCTAATGGATAAGATCTCCAATCTGGAGCTGGAGAACAACATACTCAAATCGAACATGTCGCCGGAGACGCTGCAACAGTTGCAAATGCAGCTGCAAATCGCTGGCAGTCAGCAGCCAGCTGCGGTGGCAGCGCCGCCCGCAACGCCAGCTATACAAGCGGCGCCGACCGCAACAGCAGCAGCCGTAACAGTGGCAGCGACGCCGGCGTCGGCAGCAGCAACCAGCCCAGCGGCGTCGGCAGCGCCAACAGCAGCAACAGTTATTGTCGCCAATGGCGGCGGCGTCGGCGCAGAGAACGGCAGCAGCAGCAGCGGCAGCGGCGTTGACGCAGCAATTGCTACAGCCTCAATTGTGGACGCAGCGCAGCCAGCGGCGAACGGAAGCAGCGGCATAGCGGCAGCGGCCATCAGCACAAACGGACCAATGTCCTAAGCTGTTTGTTAGTTTGTTTTAATCGTAATTTTATTAATGTGGCCCATTGTCCAGGGGCACTGGAATGTCGAAATAATTGAAAATGTCAACTCTAAAACTTTGTCGCCGCGACAGAGTAAAGCGTTAGCAGCCCCCCGTTCCCCCTTCCAGTAACAATGCCCCAGCAACAGCAGCAGCGCAGCAACGTTAACAAAGCAGACAACAGCAACAACAACAAAAGTATTACAGAAAAGCTCAAGCAGAGCGAGAGCGAGAGCGTGAGCAAAAGAAGAGGAGAGAAAGTGGAAGTGAGTTCTGCTGCTGTTAACGTTGCTGTTGCGCGCTGTTAGCTGCGGCTGTTGCTGTCTGGTAGCACTGCTGCAGCCGCCATTTTGTTAATTTTTCGATTGTGATATTTGTTTAACACACATACCTTCACACATACACACTCACACACACACTCACACTCAATCGCACACAGGCATAGTTAGATGGATAGACTGCGCGTTAACAGCCTGGCTGCGGCTGGCCAACAGCTGTTAGCGAACGCTTTAACAGAGTGTTTTTATTATTATTTAACAGTGCGCTGCTGCGCCAATTAACATTCAGGTTCAATATACACAGTGAGAAAAAAAGAAGGCGAAAGAAAATTCATGTTTTTGTTTAATTTCTAAACGATCCTTTTTTTTTTTCCTTTTTGTTGTTCATTGAATTTCGTTTCATGTTATTTAACGCTCGAAAGAAGTTGTGCAAAACAAAATCATAAATATAATTGAAAACAAAAACAAAACGCAAAGCAAAAGAAAATTAAAGTTGGCTTCAAAAAATACTTAAATATTGTAAAAGTAGAATTTGAGCCGCGCAATGTGAATGGGTAGAGAAAAGCAGAGAAAGATAGCGAGATAGAGATAGAGAAAGAGAGAGAGGGAGAGGAAAATTAAGAAAACAAAATATGTGATAATTTGCATTGTGCATTGTAAATTGTAAAAAGCAAGCAAGAAAATATCCGAAGCAAGCGCTAAACAAACAAACAAAAAAAAAATACACTTAAAGAAAGTCCGCAGCAGCAGCAGCAGCAGAGATCAACAAAATTGTATTCACTTTAAACTAAACATATATAAATTGATAACAACACGGATTATAGATCTATATATATATATATAAAAATATTATGTCTATGTAAAACAGCAAGCTGCTATTTTTATAATTTTTAATTATTTAACTAAATCAAAGCAAATTATTAACTTACAAACAAAAAATCGTAAATGTGCATGTTTCAAATTTATTATAAACAAAAAAAAAAAAATAACAAAAAACAAAAATACACAAGAATATTAAAAAAAAAAAAAAAAAAAAACACAACACACGTAGAAAATTGTTGTAGTTATATATTAGAACATTTTTCAAATTCATTTCAAAGTAATTCAAATCAAGAGAAAACAACAACAAAATTAATGTAAATATATTTAAATATGATGTGTGCAACTTTCAAGAGAAAGCGAGACAGAGAGAATAACTGTATTCATGAAAGTATAAAGAAATGCAAGCAAATCGTGTGTAGACACTTTTAAAGTGAATACCCCTACTAAAAGAAATACACCTTACTCAGCAGCAGTAGCAAGAGGAAAAACCCAAAAGAAAACACATGGAAAATGTATATTAAATATTAAGTGGAAAATGAGTCGTCCTATTTTAATTGTTATGCAAATATTTAGTTTAATAATTAATATTAATTTCGAATTTTTGTATAAACGCAAATCAAATCTGTTGTAAGATTTCTGTTACACACACACATGCACACACACACACACACACACACACTCTGCCGCCACAACAACAACAAACAGAAAAAGAGCATTCGTTTAGCTGAAACTGAAACTGAAACTGAAAGCAACTCAAGAATTCAAGAGAAGAAACGCATTGAGCCCAGCTCCGCCGCGTAGACGTCACAAGTTTTGTCTGTTCCGGCAACTTGCAACACTTGCAACTTGCCACACTGGCCACCTGCGGAGACTCGAATTGTCTAAGGTCGGCCACAGCCACAGCTCCATATTCGAAACAATTAAATATCCGAAATCAATATATATATAAAATATATGTGATTATATAATCCCAACTGAGGCACAAAACTTGGACGTCTATATATATATATGTATGCATCAGATCGGTCAGATCGGGCTCAACGTTCGTCACACTAAAGTAATTGTCTCTTGAAGAAAGTATTTTTTTTGTTCTTGTTTTGGATTTTGATTTAAGAACATATTTTGTCATGCGTTTTATTTTTTTTTGTAATTTTATTTTGTATGCTACCCCATGATGGATTTTTACGCGCTTAAGTTCTCATTTCTAAGTCTAACTATTAATTTATTAATTAGTTTGTAAGCGAACAACAACAACAACAACAACAACAAAAGATTAAAACAAGTAAATCAAATGCAAATACCAACTATATTTAAATAAAATAATGGAAATACAATTATAATAAAAGCAACAAATACAAACTAAATTCTGATCCCGACTTTCGATTGCCATCGAAAATTACAATTTTTTCGATGGTTTCTGAATATCTCGGGTAGATACCAGCGACGAGTCCTGTATGGACAGGGACTAAAATCTGCCCAAAGGACATTCAAATCGTCCTTATCGTTTCCGAGATATGGCTTTTGTTCCTTTTAAAGGACCTGAAATCGGACACCTTAAGGACCAAGGACAAGGCCTTGTCCTGCCAACTTAGAATATGTGATAAAAAGGACGAAAATTCTTCAAGGAGCTGAGTGTGAAAAGGACTTCTGTCGGTACAGATAAGAGCGTGTAGATCGGCCATATCCTTGCCGATCGTGATGTCCATTTGCCAACCGTAAGTCCTTGTCGTCCCCATTCAGAATATATAATGAAAAGGACGAAAGTCCTTAAGACAGCCTAGATATGCGTACGATTCTTTCGTAAATTAACAAAGCCACAACTCGGCCGTATCCTTGCAGATCCTGACGAGTCATGTGTCAAACGAATCGTATGAACAAGGACCTCAAACTGTCCAAAGGACATCAAAATCGTCCTTGCCGTTTCAGAGATATGGCCAATTTTCTAAAAAGGACATTTTTCAATTAGCCATAACTCGGCCATATCCTTAAGGATATCGGAAGGATATACCTTGTTGAACTCGTGGAGAGCAGGACTATCGATTGGCATTCAAGGATTTCCAAGATTCGACAAAAAATTTCACCAAAATTTTTCATAGGGGGTAAGTCGCAAAATTGGCAAAAGTCGAAAAAATCGGGACTAACTTCGCCATTTGAAGGACTATCGGGATGTCCTTTGAACTGTAGATAGTGCTCGACCTCCCATTTAAGAAAAAACAACAAAAAGGACGATAGTCCTTCAAATGGCGAAGTTTTAAGGACGATTTTTGCAAGAGAAAATAGGCCATAACTCGGCCATATCCTGGCATATCCTGTCGAGTCCTATGTCAAAAAAATTGTATTGACCAGGACTACCAACTGGCCAAATTTCATTAAGATCGTCCTTGTAGTTTTGGAGATATTCAAGGATTTGTGTTTTCGGGCCATTTCCGTGCACTTCGGGAATAAAAATTTCACAAGTAAAAATACAAGTCCCTGGGTTCTTAGATGACCCCATATTTTTTTGATGCAGATCGATGCAGGGGGTCTATACGATCCTAACGCACCATGTCCTTTGAAAATCTGCAAGGATATGGCCGAGATATGTCCTTTTTTCTGCCTTAATATTTTTTTCGCTCTTTTCAATTTAAATGTGTTTTTATCCTTTCAGACTGACAAATTAAGGACTACAATGAGCTCTAAGGACCTCCACGACTGACAAAGCGAAATTTTCAAGGATTCGACTTTAATTAAGCCAGATATACTTATTTTAAGTTTAAATAAGCTCAAATTATAATTTATGCTCGATTTTTATGATTTTAAGAGAAATAATTAAGAAAATGAGGGAAAAAACAACCATTTTGTAAATAAATCATTTATTTAAACGAAATTCCTGTTTTTTTATTTAAAAATTCACAAAGAAAAAAATTTCGTTGCATATCCAAAAGGGGCATCTGTGGGCAGCCGAGATTTTTCTTAAAATCTGCCAAAATACCAGGCGAACATAAATGCCCAGAAGGTCGACAAAAAATATTTTTAGCTACCGAAAAATTTCATTGCATACCCAAAAGGGGCGCCCTTGCCGCCGGCCGGGTCCCAAATTTGCCCTAAAATTCCACTCAAATACCAGGCGAACAGAAATGCCCAGGAGGTCGACGAGTGGTTTTTATAAAAATTTTCATAGCATAGCATAAAGGGGCAAAAATGTAACTCAATTAAAATGAGTGCTTTTAACTAGCAGTTCATGTTAAATGAGCACTGTAAGCCGGCTATTAAGCAACAGCTGCAGCTGCAGCTCATGTAAAAGGGCTCCTGAAAGAAAAAGCATACATATTTTTGGACCATTCCCATGCACATTTTGCAGGGATCTGATCCTTTAGGTTCCCAAGGACTATATCGATGGTATGGGATAACCAAGGATATGCTAGTCAACTAGAAACCATCCAGGGATCCAGGAACTGTTGCTGGGGGCGGCTGTAAAAGAAAAGCATACATATTTTGCAAGAACTTTATCCTTTAGGTTCGCTAGGACTATATCTATGATATGGAATAACCAAGGATATATCGGTCAACTAGCTACCATGAATAGCGATCATTTCCTGATGAAATCTTGTCCATGGGCGTGGCAGAGTTGGCTGAGTTTCCGCGCGGGAAATACTGTGTTTATAATCCACTGTGTTATAATCGCCGATCCAAGAACGAAATAAATACTTCTTGATTATATATTGTCCATGAAGGTTGGCAGGATTAGTCTGAAAAATACAAAATGAAAAATATATTAGTTTTGTATACTTAAATACATGGCTTCAATTACGTCTGACATACCTTTAAGATCGGCAGAATTCTACAAAATGTTAATTTAAGAATCGACGCAGATTGGCAGCAACAAAATTAAAATGCGGTTTTGTTTAAGGCAACATATATCCATAGCATGAGCATATATCCAAGCTCATTCAGGTCTCAAAATTTTTGTCCTTGGCAGATTTAGCTGCAGAATTTAAAAAAGAAAACAAATGAATTAGTATTTTGTAAGCTTTTAATAGCCCGATGACTTCTGAAGAATATACCTTTTGGGGTCCGTGAGTCTTCAAAATCGCCAAAGTCGACAGAGCACTAAGAAATTTCAGGGCAATTGTTTTACATGTCAATTGATATTTGCGACATGGACGACATTTTCCGAGCAGTTTTCCTTATAATGTTACTCAAAGAGTTTCACTCAAGTGCTCGGCGCACAGCACATGGAGCAAGAAACCCACAAACTGTAGTAATCCCTGTTCAAAGCTAGATAACGCTCAAGCAAGCATTAGCAGGTATCAAGTGCGAAAACACACAAACATGTGTTATCTATGCAAAGAGAGAGAGAGAGAGAGAGAGAGAATTGCCAAATATATGTACATACATATGTGTGTGCATCGTATGATTGCTTGTGCATACATACATACATATGTATGTGTATATGATTGCCTGTGCATTATCTTCTTGTTCGACACGCTCTCACGAACTTTTAGCGAACGTGAGGGGATATTTATTATAAAATAAGCACTTTTATCAAATTGTCAAACTAGAATACGATTAATTAATTATTACTTCCGACACGTAAAATATGGCATTTAATTGGCAATTTTCACTAATTATTTCTTTGTTCGACTGCTGCCGTTTAACTGAAGCGAAATCATGTCGCTCGATTGAACGCAGATCAAGGGTAGATAATAAGTAGATGTGACACACACACAAACATATGCAGAGAGAATGGCCAAATACATGTACATGCAGGCATATGTGTGTGTATATCGTATGATCAGTTGTGTAGGGAAGTGAGCAGAAAATTATAATAAAACAGACACATAAACATTTGCGAGTCTATAAAATCGATCTTCCACTTTTGTCAAACTTAAGAACACGATTCTTTTTATGGCTATTAATACTTCCGACCCGTACAATTCAGATCAAAAGATAACGCATAAGAAATCATACACAAGTACAACTACATACATACATATAGATATATCAATTGCGAGAACACACACACACACAAACATACATATGTATGCAGGGTCTATGAAATCGATGGACTTGTTTTAATTTTGATTCCATTTTTGTCAAACTTTGCAAGCGATTTCTTTTATGGTTTTTATATTTCCGACCCGTAAAACAATTTTCACTAACTATTTCTTTTTAAACATCTTTCTTCGACTGCTGCCGTTTAACTAAAGCAAAATCATGTCGCTCGAGTGAACGCAGATCAAGAGTAGATAATAAGTGTGTATGTATGTATGTAGATATGAATTGCGAGAACACACACACACACATATGTATGCAGAGTGAATCGCCAAATATGCATATATATATGTATGCATGATTAGTTGTGCATAATCTTCTTTTTCTTCGCGTTACGATTTTTTTGCAAACTCAAGGGAAAAATATAAATATATGAACACTGTGTGAAAGTCTATAAAATCGATGGACTTGTTCAAAATTTGATTCTTTGGAAACGATTTGTTTTATGGCTATTAATAGTTCCGACCCGTACAAGTACAAAAACGTATACAATTAGAGATACGGAAAACATTTACTTGAGCATTTTCACTTATAATTTTTGTTAAAACAGATTTAATCGACTGTTTGACTGCCTTTCAACTAACACAAAATCAAAGTGAACAAAAGTCGCCGCACAGCAACTCGAGTGAGCGCAGATCAAAAGCAGATAACGCATAAGAAATCATACGCAAGCATGAAAGTACACGCACACACAAACATATGTATGCAGAGAGAATCGATATACATACATATGTGTGTGTATACCGTATGATTGCCTGTGCATTATCTTTTTATTCGCCGCGCTCTCACGAATTTGTTGCGAGGTGGGAAGAAAATTGCAATAAAATAAGCACTTCTTCAAATTTTGATTTCATTTTATACACAAGCATACGTAGATATCACTTACCTAAACATATGTTATGTAATCGCCAAATAATAGCCTTATCTGCTTACGCATCAGATCCGGGAAGACGTATAAGAAAATAATTACAGGCTTAATAGACTATCCCGCGCAGCACAACAACATGCCCTATTCACTTATAGGGCCACACTGACTCAGACGAAAGTTGCGCAGCTGCATCAAAGCTGCGCTCAGAGAGCAGAGCGCAGAGAACATTGCTGCCGGCACTTATTGATTGGACCAATCAGCGATCAGCGCCGTAAAGAATCGTGAGCGCGTGAGCGTAACTAGATAAATGACAGCGAACACACACACGAACTGCTGGCTTCTTATCTCCGGCCTTGGCTCATCTCGTGTTTGTGCGGGTGTGCACCATGCTCTAAGCAATGCGGCGCATTGTTCACACTCGAACTTCGATCGCCTGCTTAATTTCTGTGCGCCGGTTTTTTTCACTCACAATTTAGCACTCTGTTAATTTAAGCTCGGCATGCAATATGAACATGATTTCTAATGGGAGTTGCGTGAGCCGGGCCGGTCTGAAAGGGTATTATGCATATGTTATTTAGCTTATTTAATAGCAGCTTTCTTATGAATTGGATAAAACAAAAAAAAGCACAATTCTAGCTCTTAGGTGTTTTTGTTATCACAACTAAAATGCGATATGAATTGACGAATGCTCAACGGAACCAAAACAAAAAGTAGGTACATATTTTGCACGGGAAACAAAAATATTATATCAGGAAAATTATTTAGAAATGCAAATAAATTAATGGGCTAAAAAAAGTTTGTGGACTAAAAAATGATTCGTTTGTAAAGACACAAATTTTTGATGATTTTTTTGAAATTTTTTGACTCGTAAGAATAACTGGCATTCAATTTGCCTTCTCAGATATTTACTGTGAACCTCTTCGCGTCGAACAAGGTATATTTTCCCAAGATCGGAAGAGTTTTAGAAGAGCATTCAGTCAGTAAGCATAAACAGTTTAGTAGATATAGATAAATGCTATAAATAATCAAATGTAAATGATAAAAATACAAAGGGGGAGCGAACAAACTCAAAGAAAAAATATACAAAAACTATTGTCTAAGAATCGAAGATGAAGTAACTATTTGATCGGCCACTTTAGAAGTCCGTCTCCGGGCTTTGGGGTCGGGCATCCGGGCTTTGGGCTCTGACATCCGGATGGGCTTCAGCGGGCGCAGTTGTTTGGGAGCTTGCCAGCTGTGGCTGGGCAAACATGTCCGCATTGCCGGCCACATCGCGACCCGGCGCCGGCTGTGGCTCCGCCGGGGCTGGCTTGGCAGGATTGAAGGACTTGAGGGTGCCCAGCTGGGCGCGCACATCCGTTTCGGAGAGATGATGCAGCGGCACATTGGCGGGCACCGCCAGGCGCTTCGGACTGGTGCTGCCGTCGTCGGGCTTGCGCTTGTCCGGCGGAAAGACAACCTGGGCATAGGTCACGCCGCTGCCGTTCGGCTCCACGATGCTCTGCGCGCCCGAGGAGTCGGTCAGCGAGCTGGGCTGACGAAAGATGGGAGCCTCTAGGCGGCGCGTTTCGACGGCTTCGTGTGGCGCATCGCGGCGCTGCATGGGTGAGCCGGAGGCTGCCGTCGTCGTCGTCAACGTGGGACTGCCACCTCGAGCGCCCACAGCTGAGGCGGGCGCCGAGCCTGAATCCTCATGCGGCACCGGCGCATACAGCGAGGGCGTATAATTGTTGTCTGTCACCTTGCAGTTGTACAGGTTTAAGCCTTTGGCAAAGATGTACACCAGTATGTCGAAGAGCACGCTGGCCAGGATCAACGAGGCTGTCAGTATGTCCAGAATGTTGCCGTGCTTCGGCGTCTCGCGCAGCAGGCAGCGCTCATAGTTGGGCGCCCAATAGACGCAGGTGGTGCCTGCAAAATACAGAAATATTTATAAATAACCATGAAGAAAATTGAATTCAGGAGGAGGACTGTGTGACAGGACAGCAAATCTGTTTCAGCTTGGATTGATTGCAATTTGTAAACAAAACAAGCAAGAGGTTCTAGTCGGAAGCTACCGATGAGGGGATACCCTGAACCTTCTTCTTCCAACATCAAATGCATATATATATTCTATTTTAGAAGCAACATATCATGTTTCGTGACTCTAGCTCTTATTCGATATCGATATCGATTTTTATTGATTGCTTGAAAACTGAGTAAGTTATCGATTATCGAAAATAAACTCGATCTCGATACTTTATGTGGTCGGAGATGCTTCCTTTTGCCTGTTACATACATTTCCATTTTGCACAAATACAATATACCCTTATAGGCATTTTTAATGGGTACAGGGTATAAAAAATAGAGAGCCAAATCCAGTTAACCAATCGACCTTAAGGCGTAGCATTGCTTCGAAACGATAAGAGTCAGTCAGAATCAATCAGTCATTAATAGCTACATGACTGTCAATCAACGAGTCTGTCAATCAATCAATTTTATGCAGTTAGTAAAATATCTGATGAAAGTTGATTAAGAAGAGGTATTCAATCATCAGTCATCAGTCAGTCAATCAGCTAGTGTTTCAGTCAATCAATACTCGACTTTTTCGAATAAGGAATAATTTATATAAAGGTTAGAGCAAATTTCGACTTTGACTTGCAAGCTCTGCCTGCTGGACTGCGTGTTGATCAGTCAGTCAGTCAATCAATCAAATGCTCAATCAAAAAGTTATCCATAGTAATGAAGTACATATTGATTGATAGAGCAGATTTGCGAGAACAGTCAATATGCAAATATCTTTGTGCTGATTATTATACTGATTGATGGCGATTGAAGTAGGTATTGTAGTGAGTGTGAGCTGTACTTACGTGTGACCAGATCGTAGCTGAGATGCACGGGCACATAGGCAAACAGTCCGACGAGCATCAGCTCGAAGGCCAGGGCGAGCGTCTTGTCCTGCGGCAGGACAGCGCGCAGCGTAATCAAGGTCTTGCCAATGACGGCCATGCCCAGCAGGAAGGCGGCAGATATGCTGAGAATCTGGAAGATGATGATGGTCTTCTGGCAGTTGTCAGCGCTGCAGGCGCCAGGCGTGGCCCGCGTGCTACCAGCCGAATTGATTGTCTGATCGCCCTGGCAGCTGCAGCCCTCGTACAGCTCGAAGCTGTTGATCGAGCTGCGCCTGGTGCAGCCGGCATAGCACGGCGAGAAGTAGGTGATGCTGCTGTTCTCCGGGCACACGGGCATGAAGGCGGTGGGCGTGCACAGGCACTGGCTGGCGCAATACGGCTGCGTCAGCTTGCCGCCCACGACGCCCGCAATGGCGCCCACATCGCAGCTGATGAACACGTAGCCCACATAGATGACGACCAGATGCAGGCCCAGACTGATGCTAATGCCCGTTATGGTGCGCGCCGAGAGCTGCGCCTTCGAGATGATCAGGCCGGCAATCAGCATGCCCACGGCCATGACGGGCGGACGCAGAAAGTAGGAGACAAAGGCGGCCTTCCACTCCTGGGTGAGGCCGTCCTGCTCGTTGTAGGGCAAAAAGAAACGGCTCTGCATATAGTTCTCCTCCTGCAGATTATAGTTGAGCACGGCGCTCTGCAGGCACATGATGCCCAGCAGATTGCACATGAGCAAACGATTCTTGAACAGACGCTTTAGCGAGGGCCAAAAGTCCGTGTCGTCCATGTAGGTGGAGAACTGGCTGCCAAAGGTGCGCATATTCGACTGCTCGATAATGCGCTGCGCCGCCTGATGGATGACCGTCTTGGGCAGCCGCTTGGGGAACAGGCCCAGCAGCACGGCCCCGACAAAGATAAGCGGCGCCAGCACAATCCAGCCGAGCCACCAGCCCACATGTGTCAGGCCAACGCCCAGCACAAGAAACGAGCCCAGCTGCTGGCCAAAGGCCCGGGCAGCGAGCACGACGCCAATCACGGCGGGACTGTCCTGCGACAGAGAGTTGTCATCGATGTAGCTGACGCCCAGCGTATAGTATGCCAGCGAGCCCATGCCGAGGCCCAGCTGCAGCACAAAGAGCAGCACCAGGGTCAAATTGCTGCTCTGCGTCTCGGTTAGGGTCAACTTCTGGAGCTGGGCCAGCGATGTGGAGCACAAATTCGCATCCACCAAGGCGTTCTGCGTCTGAACACCATCAGCGCTGGGTAAAAGGCAGCAATTGGTTAAGATTGATAAGTTACAAGCCTTTTGATACACTTACAAGTTCATTATGGCGGGTATCACTGCAAGCACACAGGCCACCGACTGCAGCATCAGGGTTCCGACCAGCCACTTGATCGGATGATAGACGTCCGCCCAGTAGGCGAAGGCCAAGGCGAACACCGCCTGGAATAATCCACTGCTGACCAAAAGCCAATCTGTGTGCACAAAATAAAGAAATCATTTTTTAATAACTTAAAATTAAGGTTCATATTCGAAAGAAACCAAACCGAACAGGGCTAATTTGGGCCAGGAATTCCCCTAATAGTTTGTTTGCCATGCTCCGAAAAGTGATTGATCGACTGATTGACTGATTGACTCACTGTTTGATTAACTGATTGGCTTACTGACGGTTGACTCACTCACTGACTGACTGATTGATTGACTTACTGATTGAATGACAGACTGATTGATTGACTAACTGACTCACTGACAGGTTGATTGATTGACTTACTGATTGATTGACTTACTGATTGATTGACTTACTGATTGAATGACAGACTGATTGATTGACTAACTGACTCACTGACAGATTGATTGATTGACTTACTGATTGAATGACACACTGATTGATTGACTGACTGACTCACTGACTGACTGACTGATTGATTGATTGACTGACTGACTAATTGACTAACCGACAGGACTGATTGACCAAATCAATTGAGACGTATTTCACACTTTTCGCAGAATCCCAGCTTTCTTGGTGGAAACTGAGTTTCGAAGATGTTTTTAGAATTTTGTCCGACTTGATTCAAACATATTTACAAAGCTCTACATAAGAACTTAATGAATATGTGTTTCACGTGTTTCAGTGATTTGGGTAATTCCACCCGCAACTATGGAAATGCTGTAGAGTCTGGATACGACGTTAAAGAATCGAAAAGAAAATATTATTTAAAATGTAAACTGGGCAAGATATATATTTGCTTAATAAATTTAAACAGACGTTTCGAGTACTTAGGTCGACTGATTCTGAACTAATCGAATCGAGATATTCCATAAAATTGGAATCGGAAGTGAGTCCATTTCACCAACATATTATATGATAACAGATAAGTTCCAGCTACAAACAAATGAAATTGACGGCAAGAAACGAATCGCACATTATCGAATTGAGCCGAGAGAGTGAGAGAGAGATAATGCAATTGATATACAAGAGTTTACGTAAGTTGAAACTGATTTCAAGAAATCGCGATCCCAATCATTTTAGTGGATGTTCGGGGTGTGGGGATATAAAGTGTTGAAAAAGTTGGCCAACTGTTTTGATTGCACATTCTGAAAAGATTTCTACTAGCATTCGATGACACACACTCGAAATCATAAACAATATCGCAAAAGCTGATAAAGTCCTCTTTGCCTCTCGCTCGCACTTTTCTAGCTGAAAAACCTCAGCCCCATTCGGCGGAGCATTGAGGCCAGCAGCTCGCATTGCTGTAATACACATTGTTGTTGTTGTTTTCTGTTTTTTTTTTTTTTTTTGCGATAAGTTGTGCTTACTCACCGACCAGAAGGGGATTGTAGCCGTGCTGGAAGGCGGCCTGCTTGGCCGAGACCCGGAAGTAGAGCTCACAGGC